CTCCCTGGTACATGTATTTCACTCGACCCCTGCCTCCGTCCCATCTGTGCTATTCGAGGCGTAATTCGTCCATCTCCTACACCTGGATGATTGATTAAAGGCTAAAGCCTTAGAGTAAATTTCATGGTGATGTATTTGCTACATGGACCACGTCTCTTGTAAAACCTACTATCAGCCAACTAGCTCTAATCGCCGCCTCGTCTATCCTGTATCTAGCCCTAATACCGAGTCTATGACTTGCCATGCCCTAGCCGCTTGTGTGCCAACCCACAAATGTTGTGGTACTGCTGGCTTTGATTAGGTTCAATGTTAAACCACAACCCGAGGCCACAACATCTTGGTCTTCACATCTTCAAGTTAAACCACAACGTTTGTGGGTTGGCACACAAGAGACTAAGGCATAGCAAGTCATAGACTTGTTAATAAAGATAGAAAGAGGATAGAAGAAGTGGAAGCTATAACTAGTTGGCTAACAATAGACATGATTCAAGGATCACGTATATGATCAAACACGACAAGTCATAGACTAGGTATTAGGGATAGAGACAGGATAGACAAGGCGGCCATTGGAGCTAGTTGGCTGACAGTAGGTTTTACAGGAGACGTGGTCCATGTAGCAAAGGCATGACCATGAGACTTACTCTGAGGCTTTAGCCTCTAATCCATCAGGGGATGAACGAATTACGCCTCGAATAGCACAGATGGGACGGTGGCAGGGGTCGAGTGAAATACACGTACCAGGGAGATAGTAGACGGATTCTACGGGGCAAGAGGGAAACTCTGATAGGACCCAGGGAAGGACTACGTAACAATATGACAGACTCTGGTCAATATTCCCAACACAATGGTGAAGGGAGTGATACCGACAGTGTGGAGTGTGAAGGGATTTCATGGATGCCGCTCGAAAGAGCACATCACACTACAATTAAAATAAGCATGGTAAAAAATTGTGACAGGGAAGGCATGATAGGAAGATATAGGAAATGTGATTAGCCCAGGGCAGAAGGAGAAATACCATAACTGTTTATCACATGCTTAATCGAAGGATGGGCTTCAATTATCTCTTTAACGAATTGTAATATGGTGCTACTAATGGCGAGTCTCATTGACAATGCCGGCAAAACGTCTGGAAATGTACCACGTCCACGGTCCTACACTAGAAATGATGATGCATAAAATGGACTCCGGACTAGTTGCGTTCCTCTAAGTCTTCCTACCAATGCTACCAAGTTACGAAAACAAGGTCAAGCAACTTCTATACAACGAAAGGAGACTGCAATCACACAAAAGGCCACACCATCTTTGTCTTCATACCTTCGAAAAAAATCGAAGTTATATTTCTCAAAAGGAATATAGGAAAACAATATGTGATAAATTGGAGATAGACCGAATCCAAAAACTTTTATTAAAATACTGGAATTAAATTTTAAAATTAATTTAGATTAATTTTAGTCTCAAATTTTCTCCGTACATTTGGATATCTTGATAAAACAATAGGAAATAAGAAATTTTCTAAGAATGTTAAATGTAAATTTCACAGAGGTATAAGACTGAACTTGCAGCCATTAGATGCTTTAGCATCCCTTTATGAGTTAGATCTCTTGTGAATACTATTAATTGTAAACTCTAAGAGCGAACATGCAGTTACCTTGACTGAAAAGCAGAAGAGGTGCCCAAAGATTGGGCGACCAATGTCTCATCCGTCCCCAACCCAGTCACTTCTAAAGTTCCAATAGGAGGTGCCGAAGCTGAAAGCGACGAATGTGACACGACGCTTCGATGGCGCAATGATACCAGATGGGACGAGGATGGAGGTTGACATTGCAGGGTTGTTGTATTTAGAATTGAAGATGATGGTTGTGATACCGGTATTTTAACGAGGGAACTAGAAGGACTCACTGGTCCGGAAGAAAAAACGGTACCCATTGAGCCCGGTTGGTCTTGTGGCTGGATAGAGCAAATATGAAAAAGACCACTAGGGTGAGCTAGGCCAACCTGGCTCGATAATACAGGAGCAGTGAATGAAGTGGCGATATGACTAGTGGGACAGAAAGCGGCAACAGGAGCAGGAGGCGGCAAAGGGTCAGCGCCCATACGGACACTGAGCAGAAAAGGAATGAGTCGCTCGTCGTCTGCTTGTCCCAGCCCAGAGAAGCAGCTACTGATACTGCCGCCGGCTCCTGCATTAACAAAACAAGTATTCGTTTACATGGAACTATGAACTATGAACGTGAAGGGAAATAATTAAGTAAATTATGCGAATACGTGATTGCGAATACTATTTTATACAAGTAAAAAAACGGTAGTCCAGATAAAAAAAATAGTTTTCACTCTAAAACCGTACATGCGTGCATTGGAACGAAATCACATTCGACATCATTGCAGGATTAGAAAAAACAAGTATTTTAGAAAAAGATGCAGCTATTTGGCCACAAGTGCATTCATTTCACACTTCAATTTCAGCCACTTCATTTTCCAACAACATGTAAGAAAAGCATAGGATCCTCGAACAAAGCATGACCTAGCCAAACTATAAAAAGTAGACAGGGTTGCAGCAGACTAGCTTTTTTGTCCTTGCGCCTGGTGAATTATCGCAGAACATGGTTTCCTGCTCTGACGATATCTGTGACATGAAATTCATATCTGTCCTGTGACCCAAAGACACTAGTGGCAATGTGACTGAGTGGTTAACGTGTCAGGCTTACATGCTGCACTGTCACGATTCGACTCCCGCTGGGCGTGTTGATAAGACCTAGGTGAGGTCGAAACTGTAGTCCACCCCAGAAAGGAAGGCTATGTAAAATTCAACGGAAACGTCAGTTCTACTCATATCATTGTGGGAAATGAAATAGGGTGAATACATCTAATGGAACTGATTTACTAGTAGTCTCTAAACTTTACCTGTATACGAAAAATATACCTTTGTTTCATTGATAATCCTTGCACAGAATATGCTATGGGAAAAGGCCTCGTGCTCCTAAAAATGCGCAGCATTCCTATAACCCAAGGGTATTGTGGCGTAGTGGTTTACTTGCTGAGATTATACGCTGAGCTAGCACGATTTGAGTCCGGCTATGGGTGCTGATAAGATCAAGGCGAAGGCTAAACTGCAATCCGCCCTGAATGAGAACACCTTTAGAAAAAGCAAGGCTATTTGAAATCAGATAGAAACGAAAAGATGGATAATTCAACTACCGGCCCTTCATAAACTTAACGAAATATGGTGAATATAACTCATAAAATGGAGAAATGTCTAACCGTAAACAAGGGCAAAAATAGAGTGATTGTAAAAATTATCTATATACTCATAAAAGGAATCGAGAAACTGACTTTGTTAGTTACAATATTAAAGTTGGTTTTATTTGCTGTCATGCAGAGTGGACAGTCGTTTGTCAGAATACTTAAGAAATCGAGCGTGGCTGAACAAATGGTGACTACATGAAATCAGATAGGATGGTGTAAAAACCAATGCCTTACTGGATATGGAGACTTCACAGCTAAGCTTAAAATTAGGAATTTATTTGAAATGAACAGAAACAATATCCTGAATAGCACAAACGACTCTATGAATTAAGCAAGAACTATCTTTGAATATTGTATATAATAATGGAGAGATTAGGAAGAGCTTCCGAGTATAAGAAGGCCCGAAATTGGTAAATTTATCATAAGTATTGCATTAAGACAATGCACATGCATTAAAAAACCTAAAATTAGAATCATCATTGCAGGATCACGTACTACTTTGTTTGCGTAGAGAAGCAGCAGTCGCAACATCCGCTTGTCTTTCTATGCACCAATTTCACTAGTCTGCATGCACATAGAGTAGGCATGAAGTAGCTAACCAAATAACGGAACGCCTCATTAAGATAACAAAGTTAGTTATAAAAAGAAAGTAGTATTTTAGGCGGCCATAGTTATTTGTTTCGGTTCTTTGGCAATTATTATTAAATGACGGTTTCTAACTTTGACGTTACTCGTCACATAGTGGACGAAAGCTCAGCACAATTAATTGGGGTCACAGGAAATTGAGCTGAGTTCTTCGCAAGAGCCACCAGTCAGAAGTTCAAGGCAATGCCTCTTAGATATCCGTCGAGGTCAATTTATGAATCCCTTGCACCCACCTTTTCAAACAAAATGAAAGGTATGCCAGCATAAACTCTATTCCTTTGCAAAGTTTCTGCTGAAAGATTGCAGCATTCCCCCTTCATATGCTCTGATAAATTCAAATGCACTCTATCCTCTTGTCGCATTCACAAGCTAGCCTAAACCAATCAGCGCTAGTGATATACTCTAGTAAGGGATTCCTCGTTAGTTTCTTTTCTTTCCCACTAGTGTGTCAAAATTGCTGATCCTACTTGGAACTTTAAGTCAGCAAGGAGCTTCACTCAATTCTGGTTTTATAAGCAAGTTTTGGAGAATACCAGTAGATCATATGTTAGATATATTCACTCTATTTAATTTAAGTGAAATTTTCAAACACAATAACATGAGTAGACTTCCATTGATTCTAACATAATCTTGCCTCCCAAAGAGTAGCTGATTATCATAGCAAATACAAACGTGCTTTATCAATAATCCTATGCGAAGGGCCCGGCATTACTATAAATTCACATCCATTGTGAGACCCAATTGCAGTTATGGCAATGTGACAGTGGTAAACGCGTC